ATGTTTGAGAACTAAATAAGAGTTACATCAGTCAGCAGCATGCTTCTCCTATCTAGCTTTCAACATTCTGGTCTTTCTGTGTACAGTAAATGATTCATCGACTGATAACCCTGCTACAAGCTTGTCAACGAGCGATAGTGGCACCACACACAACTGTCTCATAACTCAATTATACAGAACCCAGCGGGATAAGAAAAAGAATCCAACCTTATGTCCTGTGACAATTCATACGATTTTTTACTGAAATGCGCGTCTCGTTTTAAAACTTCAGCTAGTTTTCGAGACATGCTAGGCATAAAAATTCCAAGTCAAAGAATTTTGTCGAGCAAGTTTTTTTTATTTGGTTTCGTCTAATTCATTTTAAGGCTAAACAATTACACAAGAAGGCCCACCCGTGCTCACCGCAAGAGCCTCTGTCTTCGACACAAAGCACAAAAGTGCTCTCAGAATGCCTAATGCACAAACTCTTCCTTGCAGTTGGTCCCATGAGCACTCGAAACGTTTATTTCATTACATCAGCTTTAATCTTATTTATTTATTCCGAATATCAATATTGGCGAGTCCAGGTCTAGTCGACATCACGAAACGCCACTGGTACCAACATTAACTTTAACTGTTCGTTGTCTTGACGACACGGCACCATCCTATTAAATTTATGACATAAGCAAATCAGCTGTAAATCATTTCTGGGTAGATTTAAGCTCGCTACATAGATTTTGAATGCCGGTTTCAAGCAGCTGTAACTACCGATGCAGATCTACGTTTACAATATCCAACAACTCTGAACTGTTCAGCATACGCACAAGCAAGTATGTACAATAAACGTTGCAAAAAAAAAAAGTATTTTAACATTCTTCCCCTTGCGCAAGGAATGCAACTCGCAGTGCGCAGCTGTGGATTTGGTTGCGGCAAACAGCAATCTTCACTCACCAGAATTCACAAAGGCGAACACAAAACCAGGCGGGTACACATCTCAGCTGATCGGACGAGTACGTATGAAATAAAGTTGCGTTGTCCAATACCACAAAAAGCTGAAACCTGTACAACCATTCCTCACATTCACATTCACTACCACTACCTACATCACACTGAGGACGCACTGGAATATCCGGGAATACAGCTGAAATTTCATCCAGGCTTTACCCAGCATTTCGGAGGGGTAGAATGACGTCATAGGAGGAGGAATGAATCACGTGGTTATGCGCCTGAGTATGCGGCAAAAATAAAGCGAAATGCGTCGCGTATTACGTTCTTGGACACGCCTACTTCCTTAATAAAAGTTTTGAAAAACGTCTCTTCCTACCTTAACTTAAACGAACGCACGTCCGTCTTAATAAAGTGAGAACGATCATCGAGATCTACCCATTGATTTCCGAAATTAAAACACGTGGACAGACGTTATGCTCTTCGACAAAATAAATAATTCACTTGCAGGACCAAAGGTTAAACAACCCTAAAAGCCGGAGAATAAATGCAACACTTATTTGAAGAACCAGGAATAATTCGCCACGCCACCAACACCTTACAATTTTTCGACAACGCATTACTAAATTATTCTTATCCGTGTTAAGAATTACTATTTAGAAACACTTTCCGAACTACTAAGGTTACATGGATGTCAGTCACGTAAATGGCAGGGCAAATACAGAAGTCGACAGTCGCCTATTTACGAAAAGTTAACTGCAAAGGTATGCCACGTGCACGTGAGTGTATTACCGGCAACAATCCCTGGTCCCGGAATGTAATTCCCTTATTATGGCCGCTAACAGATCAGTCCCGCAAAAATCTGCTGCCCAAACACACAAACAACAAGCGTTTTCCTATCAGACCCACCACCTACAGGAAAATCTACCTAGATGCTTTACGTCGGCCTCAATTCGTCCCGAGAACCCGCAGTTCCCCACCTCAGGGGACCGCGGAGCTGAAACCAGAATAGAAGATATCCCTCTGTGGCCGTCGATATCTAAACAGCCAGATAAGCAAAGTTGCAAAAACTGTTCAAAGAACACCCTAGGCGAACAAGGTACAAAACGAGTTCGGTTCCTGCCTGGCAAACGCAAGGATTTCTCACTTTGCAACCGCGGCCAGACTGGCTCTAGAACCCGCCAAGCCTCTCATCCGAAGGGCACAGGGAGTTCACCATCCACATCTTCAAAGAATAACAAGTTTCAATTTTTTTAATCGACACTGATTAATTTTACGGTGGAAATTAATTATTAAAACAGAAACACGTTTTCAATCAGGGCTGTCCTTGACAAATGGTATCAATAATCTGGGGTAATGAAACGTCTGGTTGGCCTAGTAGTAGCCACTGACTGCAGACTACAACGATCAATAGAAAGTAACTCAGCACGTAGCTCAGATGCGCAGCGGGCCCGCTAGTAAGCGCCCTCTCGGGTTATGACAGATCAATTCAGACATCACAACGAGGGCTTATTTCTCTGCGACATCCTATTTTCTTTCCAAGCCAACTGCGGCGATGTTATATTACGCGATAATTTTAATTTGATATGAGGTGGGGTTTAACTCCTTTTCGTGTTCTGTCACGCGACTACGAGGTCATCTCCATCTCTTAACACTGGCAGCAATAGATTTCTACACGCAATAAATGAACATGAAATTGGGATTCAAAACATCAAAAAACGAGACGAGGGTAAAGCGCTGAATGTCCGACTCTCGTTTACCTCGCGGGCCGTCCTTTAAAGAAATGGCGATTGCAGCTGAAACCAAGGACATCACTAGCGTAAACCAATCGTGTTACCATGGAGATGCAGCAAATATTGACACAGCGTTGATTCGAATGCAATCTTAAGCAGGAACAACAAACAGCATGTAACGACGTTACAAAATGATGGACAACACCTTCAGCAGAATTAGATCACAATGCTGGACCTACTAAAAGCCGAGCGTTTATGACGTACATTTAAAAAAACAACACTTTGAGACATCATGAGACAAATAACGATCGTCGTGCGCTAGTGTCTCCAGTAAGTCCGACTAAACTGAATGCTAGCAGACATGTATTCGTCACGCATAAACCAGCTGACGACACTGCTTTCAATCAATTGGATTCAAACCTGGACAAAGTACGGGTGATACTTACGAATTAGAAAAGAAGATAAAGATTAAAAACCAAAGTATAAAGATGAGAAAAATAAAGTCTCGAGCATACTACATGTTTCAGAGATGTTAAAGACATTTTATCACCTTGGAAAGATAAAGAAGTGAAATCCACTCTCTCCTTAAACATCTCATCATCCGTAACTCTTTTCACGCTGTTTTTCATTAGAAAGAAATAGTCTTTTGTTCGTGCGCATTCACGGTAGCCTAACGCAGCATCTCGGAGCGTCTCGAGTGATCAAGAAACCGTCGACTTTCATGGAAGCCGTTGGTTCGTCGTCATGTTTAAAAAAAAAAACTGCCACATGAATCCAGTAACACCTGTTTCAATATTCAGCTCCAGTCTACATCTAAATATATCAAGTGGTCTGTTTTTGGATTTTCCGACTAAAATTCTCATTTCTATCTCTTGTCCTCCACTATAATATTTCGTCAACGGTATAAACAGTGAAGCTCCTATTAATTATGCAGTGTTCTCCACACTAACTTTACTTTCTCCCTCTTAGATCCAAACTTTCTTCTCGGCACCTTTCCCACACAAAACAGATAAAATTATATTTCTATACATTTTAACCCGTACGTTTTTGAAAGACGGCGGGAAAACAAAACATTCTGATGGTAATTAAAGCAAGCAATCCCTCGATTTAATATAAATTTTAATGTCTTCGTTAATGTAATTCTGATGTCACTGTTCCCGAATATTTAAACATTGACATTTTCAAAGGATTTACGGTACATCTTTGGTTTAATTTTAACCGTCTAATCACAATAAAATATTTTATTAAATATTAAAATATTATTATTACAATTAACATTTAATATTTAAAATATT